ATAGGCTAGGGTTTTTGTTCATTAGGAATTTGATGAACCTTTTGATGATTTAAATTTCCGTTATTTCATAAATTCAACATTAGTTTCGATTGGACAAATGTTTGGTTTATATGATTTGAATGCTTCCATAATTAATTGGCCAATTATTATGTGATTGTAGATGATTTATTCTTTGCATTCGAAAGAAGGGGAATAAATTCGATAGAATATAAATCGACATAGGGTCCGATAGGGGATGGAAACTTACCTCTATGCTTTATGCAATTCATGAAAATGTTCATAAAAAGTCATGCATTCTTGTACATTGCATCATCCATAGAAATATAGGCTGGTGGTGTGTAAGAGTAGATTCAATATATATCGAGAGAGTGTATTGGATAATTTAGGAACATTGAATTGGCATTTTGTTCCATCGATTCGTTGAATCTGTGAAATTAGGGTTTTTAATAATCAATCGGGGATTCAAGTTCTTAATGATTTCATTTCAATTCATTTCAATACAATAGTTCTAAAATTGCATAGTTACATTTCAGTTGCGTGTTTATTTCATTAGATTAGTGAAATTTCAAAATTAGGGTTTTCCAATTTTGAAATTAGGGTTTTCTTTGCAATTAGGGTTTCAAATTGGGGATTTCTCCCAAAATTAGGGTTTTCACATTTAAACCAAATTTTCATTCAATTAGATTCGGTTAAGGTCACATTAGTTTAATTAGAGCTAATTTAATCCTCGTGGGAACGATACTTGGACTCATAGTCCATTTTACTACTTGTTAACGAACCGTACACTTGCGGTGAGTTTTAAAATCGAGAAGAAATATTTCGCGAACAGTAGCAGTGTGTTAGTTTATTTTTGTAATATTTTTGTTTATCAACTACCTTTGAACAAGAATTTTTGTTTATCGAACGACATTTGCACATGGTTCTAATATTTGAAAATTTGCAGGATGGAATATCATCTGGACGACGCTGTCAGACAGATCCCTGGTAAAGTTACGTCGAATTATAACTTTACCAACTTCGCTTTGGTATTAGATTTGCTGGATGACGATCACGCGGATATATTACTTCGATCATGCTTATGGCCATTGTATTCATTGCGTGATGTACAGTAGTCTGGGCAGCTACTCGATGCCTTGCTATGTCGGCTGTTGAAGCCAGTTGACGGAGTTGCCCTCCATTTTGATCTTGGGTGCAAGGTAACCACATTCTCCATATTTGAGTTTGCCCTCATCACTGAACTGCGATGTACGAACGAAGCAGAGGCAAGGGCATGCGTTTCGAGGAACAGGAGGCTATGGAATGAATATTTTTATGGACAGACGACGGTTACTCTAGTGCAATTGGGAGATGCATTAAGGAGATGTGATCAGATTTCTGATAGGCTGAAGCTGGGCTTGGTGCTTATCATCGAGAGCGTACTTCGGTGTCATCACAAGAAGACATCGATTGATATTTTCTATTTGGAGGTTGTTGATCATATTGATGCCTTCAACAACTACCCATGGGGTCGGACATGTTTTCTTGATACATTACGCGTGTTCCGGAGGGAGTTTTCGATGCCAAGGGGGGATAAGCTTGAGCGCAAGTACGATATATATGGACTGCCATTGGCGTTGTAGGTATATGTTTAAGTTAATGAATTACCTACACCTTTTTTTTATTGAATTTTATACCTAATAATTGTAATTGCTTCAGATATGGGCGTACGAGACTGTCCCCATCTTGGCCAGTCAGTATACGAGAAGAGGAGAGACACGCTGTTCTCAGATGCATCACTGGCGAGCACAAGACAAGCTGCTTGCCAGACAGTTATCAGCTCTCCTCGACAATGATGAGGTACGTATTATACAATTGCTATTTATGTTGTACGTCGTTTTACAATCTCAATACATAGTCATTAACTGTAACATGTCAAAATGACAACTTGAAGTTCTCACTGAATTGACACCGTCGATCGAGGAGGAGAGTCAGTTTTATATTCGCGAATTGCCTGTTCGAACTGCACATGACGATCAGATACCTGAGTTTAAGATGGATCGAGATAGGTATGTTACTGTGCAGGATTTGTTGAATATCGCTTTGATCTTGTAATTAAGTGCTTCACTTATAATATTTATTTTTTCGGGAGGATCGTTCAGTACTACCTCCATCGAGGATGTCACCTTCACTGAGGAGATCACGTCCAGCGAGGATGTCACCTCCGCTGAGAAGATCATGTCCGACTACGCCAGAGGTTCAGATGCCTGAGTCCAGCGTTGATTGAGATAGAGTATGTTACTTAAAAATAATTTTTCGATTGTCGTTTTAATTTATTTGTTAGGTTATTCATTTGTAATAGATATTTTTTCAGGAGGGCTGTCCAGTATCACCTCCTGCACCTAATCCCCGTGCTTCGACGATTGATTTGTTCGAACTCCTGATAGAGATGAGAGGAGACATGGCAGAGTTACGGGATAATGTCGTGGCACTACGAGCTGAGTTCGAGGACATGGCACAGTTACGATATGATGTCGTGATGTTACGAGTTGGGTTAGGAGACCTTCATGCTGAGGTTGCAGCGATACGAGGTGACATAGTAAGCCTACGTGGGACGCCCGATTAACGAGATGGAGGAGCTAGCGGAGGGACATGTCACTATTGGGACGGAGGGGGTGACGGAGGGACTGGTGGCTATTGGAATGGAGGGACTGGCAGCTATTGTGACGGAGGGGTGACGGAGGGATCGGTGGTTATTAGGGGGGAGGAGGTCAGATGGGGTATGTTGACTCATCGTGGCCATCAGTTGCTGCATTTTGATTCATTTTTAAATGACACGATGGGGATGGAGGAGCGAGAGAGGATACATATGGTGAAGGGGGTGCCCGTGTAGGAGATACCTGAGGATGTGGATAGAATACCTGAGGAGGAGAGGGTGCCGGAGGTGGAGGTGGTACTCGAGATGACGTCACCCGAGGCAGAAGGGACACCCGAGGAGGTGGGGGTGCTCATATAGGGATACCTGAGGACGTTGAGGGGGTACCGGAGGAGGAGAGGGTACCAGAGGTGGAGGTGGTACCCGTGCAGGGGATACTCGAGGATGCCGAGGGGGCACTGGAGGAGGAGAGGTAACTGGAGGTGGAGGTGGTACCCGAGAAGACGCCAGACTTGCCGGACGTGGTCTTTGTTTTGGAGGAGGTGGTCACGATAGCGGGCGAGAGGGTTGTCCCAATGGCTGGGGAGATGGAGATTCCCGAGACGCATGAGGAGGGGACGATGGCTGTTAACGTGCTTCAGCGGGTGGTCGACAAGAGGTCGAGGGTGCCATCACAGCACGTCGTTTCTCCCTTTACCGTGGAGGCGAAGAGGAGAATGTTCGTCTACGGGATGCACCCGAATTTATTCAGGGAGGTGGACCACGCCAAGTGGAAAACCTTTGAGACCGAGTGGAGAGCACTAAAGCCTGGGTAAGTTTTGTATTTTATAGAATTAGTATAGTATGCAGACGCTGACAAATGTATACTTCTTGTAACTAAAAATTTTGTTCTTATTTTTTAGGACCAGCCACACGATTGCTGAGAAGACGATCTCAAATGCTTACATGTGGTTCCACGACATCACTATTTCGGGGGCTTGGCTCGCCGACGATGTAAGCAAAATGAAAATATTGTTATTTATTATGTATGTTCAAAATCAAATTTTTGAATGAAATTCATAGATTAACTCCTTTCTTTGGTGTTTCTTGATGTAGCACATCGACTTGGCCATGGATTTGCTACGAGATCGAGCTGAAAGACATCCAAAATCGTTCAACATTCCTGGCAGACCCATATTGAACACCGAGTTCATCCGTACCGTTGACATTGAGTACCAGTCGTTCCAAGCTATGGGTAACAAGTACACGGTGCTGGAATATATGATGGAGTGGGTCGTAGGGATGTGGCCTAGTGTCGGAGGAAAACCATGGAAGGGCTTTACGCATATGTACATGCCAGTATGTGTGAATCATCACTACATTGCAATAGAAATCGTATTCGCCGACTCCACGATGTATGTCTACGACCCCGATCATTCATGCCTGACACAAGGTCAACTCGAGCAAAATCTAGAGTCGGTGTCTGTGATCGTTCCCATGATGGCTAGATGAGCGAACATCACTGTACAAGACAGATTGACCACCATGCGAACACGACGACGGCGAGGCAGCAAATATCGTAAGTGTTTGTAATTTTATTTTTGTCATTTACATCTTAGGTTCCAACTAATTTTCAATGTGATAATACAACATTATTTAATTGTAGGGGTGATTGCGACATGTTCGTCATCAAGTACATAGAATTTTTGAGTGTGAGACATAAAGTTGATGCAATCAACCAGGCATGGATACAAAATTGGAGAAATAAATTAGCATGCGATTTATTTGAATTTAATGGGGATCCGTAAATAATTGTACATATTTTTACATTTATTTAAACATTGTACAGTCCATTCATTCGTTTGTAATTATGAAAGAATTGTAAAATGTTAATTATTTATGTAATATTTAAATATTTATTTTACAATTTATGTGTTTATTTATAATATTTGTATGTATTGTGGATAATGCAGTTTCTAGAAAAAATTTCGATTTAAAATAATTAATATAAATAATATGCATAAATAATTTGCGTAACAAATGAAAGTAATGAATGAAATGTTAAAAAAAAACACTAAATCTAATAATTCACATAAATAATATGCATAAATAATTAATGTTAATGTTATAAATAATTACATTGCCAATAGTTATTAAAACTACACATCCGTTACATTGTCATGCAGAGGAATCTGACTTGTACAATATCTTCTAGTATGCCCTGTAGCACTGTACCTACCGCACTTACGAGGCTGAGGAAACTCTCCAATAGATGGTATTTTAGACGTACGTATACGTCTAGGAGTACGTTGTCCAATTGCTGGTGGCAACAAGTTATTCAATGGGAGAATGTGGTCGGGAACTTCCCACTCGATTTCGTTTGGTACAGGAAATATTGTTTCCGCATACGTTGCTCTCCAATAATCAGTCATGTAATACACACTGCATAAGGTGTGTGGTGGAAATCCTTTATGCATAGCCACTGCCACTGCATGTGTACATGGAAAACTCTCCAACTGAAACCGTCGACACGTGCACGTGTTATCATTCAAGTCCACAATGTATCCGAAATTACGTGCTCATCTCACGGAGAAGCGAAACTGATCCAGTGGTTCTACATATACCTTTCTCGCCGCATCTAGAGTCTTAAAGAACTTGTCTTCTTGAGCCGGGGTTAGCACACTTGCACAACTCTGTGATTCCTCACGTCTATCATGAAACCACTGTTGTAGCTTGTCACGAATGTTCTCAATTATTGCGAGAATTGGTAACTCTCAATCTTTCTTGAATAAAGCTTTAAGCAACTCTGCATTGTTCGACGTCATCATGTTGTATCGACGTCTTGAAAAATGTGATTGTGCCCAATGTTCAATTCCCATCTCTGTTAGATACTCCCATGCAGCATGTGATTTACTGTCTATTTCGACCATGAACTTTTCAAACTCTTCAAAACTGTAAGCCTCTGCAGCTCTCCTAAACAACGCAACGATGCCCTTGCCTTGATACCTAGTCTTCAGGTTTCCCTGTATATGGTACATACAATAACCATGATGTGCCTCAGGGAAGACTTCGGTGATACCATTTATTATTGACTTCCCTCGATCGGTTACGAATGTAAGATTTTCAACATCCCAATTACTTCCCTCAACTTCATGAAAAACCAACTCATCGCTACATCACTTTCTCCGTCCACTATGCCGAACGCAAGAGGGTAAATTTGGATGTTCGAATCTTGGCATGTTGCAATTATCAACTTGCCCCCGTATCTCACCTTAAGGGTGTACCGTCGACTAAGATTAGGGGTCGCATTGCATTTTGAAATCCTCGAACACATTGTCCAAGAGCCATAAAGAAATATTTGAAGCGATTATCATCATCTTTCTCAATAAAAAATGTCGACCCAGTATTAATTCTTCCCATGTTATAGCAATACCTGGCCAATGTAAATAAAAATAATTATAATTTAGATAATCTATTAAAGATTAAATGAACAGAAAAATAAACAATTCAATTAAATAATTAATTATATATAAATAAACAATTGAAAACAAATAATTAAAATTTAAAATAACAAAGAAATAAACACTTAAAAAATGAAAAACATGGCTAATTTAGCATAACTCTCCACGGTCAAACCCATCAAATCCTCCAATGTACATTCTTTTGCCTTCCAAACCTTCTGATAGCTCATGACCACCCCGTATTCTCGTCGAACGTCATAATGATGTCCGAAGGTCTGTAGATCGTTCGTGGATCCTCGAACTTGTGCATTATTTCTCGACCAATGAACCATGATCGGGCTTGCCTATAATCATTTCGACGAATACCCACTTCGCAAGTATATTCTCGTGCATACTTATGGATTACAAAGAACTCATTCCTGTCCATCTTAGTGGCTCGCAAATGCCACTGGCAACTGTTGTCAACGCAGATAATTGTGTACGTCGACTTGTTTGATTTCTTCACTTTAAAATCGAAGTTATGTTTTAAAGCAATCTGGTGCACAGCTTCTTGCAATTCTTTCTTTGATTCGAATAGTTGCTCGACATATAGATCTTCGTCATCGGGAACTACACGCGAACAATTAGAGGACCATGTACTCGGTCCGGCCTGTGAGCTCCCACTTGGCTCATATCTCCTACAGGATAAAGCAATCAAATCCTTGTTTGTAAATGCGTTTTTATTCTTGTTGTCTTCAACTATCGATGGAATTCTGTGCATAATCGTGTGATCATGGTGAGTAGCAGTGGTCTCGAGAATAACCACATCATCTTCACAAACAATCTGAATTGTATCCCAAACATCATTTACATTACGATTCTTTTCATTTGAAACTTCGTGTTCACCCTTGTGGACATTCTTCCCCAATAAAGTTACGCAATAGGAGTTGACTTTCGACCTTGGTTCAATTTAATTAGATATTTTATTTCCACTTCAGAAGTAACTTTCATAGGTGGAATTAGAATAGTTGAATGCTTATGAAACAAAAATCCCAATTCCATATTGTACTGAGAGGGATCGACGTTAAGCATGTTTTGTATATCATGGTACATTTCTACAAACGATGTACTCCTTGTTATAAAAATTTCTTTAACTCCATCTTCTTCACTCGTCCATTTCCATTCCCATTGAGCATTTTCATTCATTTGAAATTCACCGAAGTGACAAATTGGGACACATGCTGATGCCATATCTGCCCCAAAATAAAAATA